CCAAAATACTTGGGTATTAAATGTTTCAATAAAATAACAACTTTTATAGGGATCAATAAAAGTAGAACTGTAATGAGGAATGAACTATATGATTTCTTGTTGGATAACTGCTTCTACAGTATGGATGAATTTCTTGCTTTTAGTGCTTAGATAAATGACTTAGTTTATTTTATACATGTAGTCTTCTCTTTTAAGTTTGTTCAAGATCAAACATTTTTGTTTTGCTTTTAGCGTTTTACTTTTGACTAGTCCAATAAGTTTTCTCACATATTTAGTCTTGTAATTATGTATGTGTGAAAATTTCAGTGATGAATGAAACTACTTCTATTTCACCCTGTATTTATTTTGCCATACCTTTGTGGTGTGTCCTCAAATTGAAACTCACGAATGCAGCAGACTAATCATGTAATATAAACCGTAGCAGTCTCCTGAATAAAAGATTTTCCACGGATAGCCCCTAATAAGTTTGGTGTATGTGTTATGTGCTTAGAAATGGCTCACTTACGTCTGCCTCTTCGGAGATATATCACGAAATATGGCCTTTTGGCATTTTCATAAGAGTCGCTCGCCTACAAGATCTTCTGGCCCCATCACATCAAATACATTATTAATTTTTTCAGCTACACCCGAATGGTTCCTTTTCTTGCTTTGCCATTCCTCTTCAAATTTTAATGTGAATTGTTCTTTCATTTTATATCGGAGTTCTTTGCACTAATGCTGTTTGGGGAAATATTGGAAAAGTTTCGCACTTTTTCCCCAGATGAGTGTTCCATTTGAAAAATCAAAGTTGCTACTGCTTTCTAATAGAAGCGGCATTTCCGAATACTCGACTTTGTCTTTTGGATTTTCTAAAAGGCTCTGTAGTGTATAACTTGTTTCAAAAACCACATTCATACTTAGTTATTTGAAAATCTTTCCAAAGTTCCTCGTATATTGGTGGTATAGCAAATATGCTACCTGGATATAATTCATTGAGAAAGGATAGAAAGCGTTCTGGAAGAGGGGTTGCTCTTTATTTTAAAAGCCACATTAAGTGTCAGCTAATGAATATAGTTGTTGAATTATCCAATAAACGCTGTGAACATTTATGGGTTAAATTTAAGATTGACAAAACCAATTTCATTTTGAGCATTATATATAGACCACCTAATAATAATAAAATAATAATTATGAACTTTACCCATTTGATAAACGAACCAACGAGAATTGACGGTAGGTCATGCACAACTCTTGATAACATCTTTATTTCTGATGAAAATATAGTATCGGAGGCAGGAACAGTTGATGCTCATTCAATATCAGATCACAAATTAGTATTTTGTGAACTTGCTTTTGGAATACAACAAACTAATGTCCAATTTGTTACATTTAGGGATTATGCAAAAGCTCCGTGGATGACTCTCAAAATATTCAAATTTTAATGTAACAAAGAAATAATGCTTTGAGTATGTATAAAAGAACAAGAACCCATCAAGACTGGGAAAGATATAAACTATTGCGAAACTTCACCCTCTCCTCGATAAGAAACGAAAAAAGAGCATATTTGAATAGTGTTTGTAGAGTCAACGATAGTAGGAGAGTTTGGAATACTTTGAGGTCTTTTAAAGTTGTGAGGGGTAAGAATAGTACAATTCCTGAAGAATTATCTGATCCTGAAGTAATAAATGATTATTTTTCTCAAAGTTGGGGGGAAACTAACGATTCAATTCGTAATGAAGCAATTCAATTCTATGATAGTCATTCTTGTCAGGAGAATAAACCTAAATTTGAATTCAAAATGGCTACCGTTGAACAGATTCATAACATTTCATTTGAAATAAAAAGTACAGCATACGGTATAGATGATATATCTATGATCATGTTGAGGTACTGCAGCCCTTTCATTGATCCTTCTATAGTGCATCTCATTAATTACAGCATGAAATCAAATCAGTTTCCTTATTTATGGAAAATAGCGAAAGGACGCCCCCTGCCTAAAGTGGCGAATCCAACAGATCTAGCAGACCTTCGTGTAATACCTTGCCTGTCAAATTTCAGAATATACTCGAATCAATTCACTAATTCCCTCATGTCAAACTGGATTCCAGAAAAAATGAGAACATCTAATTCTCTCATTTGGGTTCTAGATACAGTGAATGCTAATTTGAATAAAAGAAACATCAGTGTGGTAACACTTCTAGATTTTTCAAAAGCTTTTGATACTATCAATCATGGTCTCTTATATGCTAAATTCAAATATTACGGTTTTTATGATAGTTCATTTACAATGAATAAATCATATCTAACAAATCGAAAACAGAAGATATTATCAAATGAAAGAAACTGTGACTATGTTGAAATTAAAGCGGTAGTACCACAAGGAAGTATTCTCGGTCCACTATTTTTCATTGTCTATACCGCTGATATTCTAAAATCCATAACCGCTTGCAATGTTCAGGCATATGCCGATGATACGCAATTATTAATTAGTTTTCCTAAGGAAAACCTGAATGATGCACAGAATTTGCAAACACAATGTATTAAAAGACATATGTAGAAAGAAAGATTTCGAGTTAATAACAATTCGGGGTGAAAGCTTTGAAGTGAATTTCAGGCTTTCAAAACGAAAAAAAATTGTTTTCTGAAACTTCGCATCGACCACTAAAGAAAACTAAGTATTATTATTGATTTTTTCTTCAATTTATAGGCAAAATTCATGAATGCGACAAGTTACTGACTTATTGAACTCTTCAGTGGATTATATTACGAAGTTACTTCAGGGTTAACTTTTCAGTTTGCTCTTTATTACACTTTAGCAGATTCCTATGTATATTTTTTCAAATTGTGGAAGTTTATATGCACAAAAACACAGTAGGTTGTTTGAATCCTTTTGTGAAAGACTAATAAAAATATTGCGGTCTTTAATGGAAGTCCTCTCGCTCAAATATCTTACACACAAAATCTCATTGAGGATAATTGACGAACATAAAAATTCTACCCATAAATAACTTTACAATATTATTTCCTTCCACAGAAGGAATCGTTCGATTGTGTGTTAGCTAAATGGTCGTAAAAAATCCTAAAAAATACTGCTGTTTGCCGCGCTGCTCGGAAGAAATCCCTGAATTACGGTTTGTTGGGCGATTGTCGAAAACTCGTAAACTGCCAGTGGAATTTTCCAATAACGGCAATGAAATTCTGGAAATCTCCTGACTAAGTAAAAGAAATGAGTTACCTAATCATTCTTTTCTCTGAAAAATCCGCTGAAATACGTTTTAATACTAGCAGTGAATTTATTAGTGAAAGAAAATGAATCGGTCATTTTTAATCGATACAAAAATAAATTATTGATGACGAAAGTATGTCTGATATTTTTAATTTCCAACTCACAAACAAAACGCTAAGGACCGTAAAGTACTTATTCATTAGGGATAAATACAAAACAAGCAAAAGCAATTTCTGTCGCTTGTTCAAGTTGTGTGGCACCCCCATTTCAAGTTTTTGATCTTTCCATTACGTTTCAAACCATTGAAAGCACACCATGGTCCTCAAATCCTCGTCCAGGATCACTGTAGGTCGACCACTTCGGAGCTGAAATCTCCGATAATCGAATAGAACTGGCCGATGCTTGATGAAAATCCATATTTAAAAAACTAATCAATAGAGTTTATTCTATGATTTTCACTATAAGGGTTTTACAAAAACCGCGACACGTGTTTCGCTTTACAATAGCTTCTTCAAGCATAACTGAGAGTTACTTCTAAATGATCTATTCTCGTACCTATTCGTCTACCTAAGTAATAAATTTACCTGAAAAATTATACCTGAAAAATTCAAGTATCGATACATTTTTTGAACGTCTACCTGTAACTATACCTAACTATTATTACCTGCGTATGAACTGATTCAATAATGTGCATGCTCAAGTTGTTGTTGATTTTGAAAGCCGAATTTACACCTGTGCTATGCAGAAAATCTGAAATATTTGTAGTGGGTTGGCCTAAGTAGGTTAAGGTTCTATAACTTTTATCCTCCTCTCTTCGAATTGGGCAAACTTCTTTCAAAGCTTGGCTGTATAACTTCTTTGATAATGAAGAATGTATCAAACCACTATCATAATCATTGTTTACGGCTATTTGCTTTATTATATTCAATTCTTTATTGAAATTCGCTTCTCACAAGGGTACATTTATCAATCTGTGGATCATACTGTTGAAAGCTGCTACCTTATGCTAATATGGGTGAGTGGGCGAATTATGAATGATTATATCTGTATGTGCCGGTTTACGATAAATTGAAAAATCATGTTTGTTGTTAACTTTCGTTATTGTCAAATCCAGAAAATGTATAGATTCGTCCTGTTCCATCTCCACTGTGAATGTGATAGATGGGTGAAGAGAATTTATGAACTTCAAAAAGTTTGTCAACTGTCTGTTCGTTCCCGTGAAACATACCAGAATATCATCCACATATCTATACCAATACAGAAAAATTCTTACAAGAGTAGTCCAGTCATTATAATAAGTTCACCTCGGAATTCGAGATACCCAGCTGTAAGTCTGTAAATACTTGTATATTGACACCCTAAAAGTTATCTCAAAACCTACATATGGTAGGGTGTAAGCAACTATTAAATTTCAAGGTCATACAGCAACCGTGTGATGTATTGGTGCGCCATCAAGCTGATACCATAGGTCGTATTTAATATTTAAAGGCATATTATCTAAAACTTCACTAACCTAATTATTTAAAAAGTTGAGATAACCGACGGATGATAAATTTTCCCCTAAAGAAAAATGGCCCGATTATTTGATCGTTAAGTATCCCACACCATACATTAGTTTTGAAGGAGTACTGATCACCACATTCTACTGTGAAATTGGGATTTTCTTGGGCCCACCATCGGCAATTTTGAGAACTTAGCGTTCCATTTGAAGAGTACGTTGCCTCATCTGTCCATAAAATTTTATACGGAAACTTTACATTTTCTTCTCTCTCTCCTTGAAACCAGAATGAAAACCACAAACGGACATCAAAATCTCGTTCTTTTAATGTGTTAATAAATTTTGGCTTGTAAGGCCAATATTTATTCTTTAATAAATTTTTTTTAACACTTTCTCTCTTGTAATCGGTATTTTTTATAATATCGTTTATGCTCGTTTGCCCGTGTTCAATAACTTTTAAACAAATGTTGAGTTGGGCTTCCTCATCATATTTACTTGGAGTGTGCTTTTTTTTCTAATTGATTTGCTACGGATCCTGTTTCTCTGAATTTCGACATTATCCTTGACACAGTAGTATGTGGAACATTTTTTCCTGGATGCCGTTCATTAAAAATGTTAGCTACTTGCCGGTATGGTGTATTCTCACCACATATTAAAACTATTTCTATCCTTTCCTGAAGAGACAACATTATTGCAACAATAACTGTTAAAAATTTGACAAGTAAATCAACAACTTGACAGTACCATAGCATGCATTTTGTTTGTCAAGACCTAATTAAAAATTTTATTCAACGTAACTAAGCATCCTTACCGCCCTAGTTAGTGTTTATAAATAATCTGTAAATACTGAATATTGAAATTTTAATGTAATTTCAACTCTAGTGACTTTATTAATACTTATTGTAGTTTTTGAGTTGTGTCTGCTTTTTCAAAATTGAAGGTACTGACGTTTGTTTAAGAAAATAGCCAAGTGATTGAAATTTTGCACCAGTCATGTTAAAATTTTTATAGCACATTTTTAATTTCTCTCTAAAAATGTCCGTATAAGTAGAAATTTATCAGAAAAGTTAAACTTCATGATGAATTTGTTATGTATACATGAATTGATGGCAATTAACCGAAGGGGATATCTGTCAAAAATAAGCAAAACGTTAACTTTATCCTAGTTGCATAAAATTTGGCATATGGGTATAAAATTGCCGTAGACACAACTTTTCCAAGTAACTTTTGTTAAATTCGATCTAAAAATGCACTTTTTCAGTTAAAAAAAAAAGTTGAGTTTGACAAACACTGAACGTCAGTGGGTCGCAGTTGGCCGCATCATTTTAAGTTAAATTCAGAGCACAAACAAGTGCCAAAGTTAAACTTCATTGAAACTTTCCGAAAAAAAAGTTTCCCATATGGTGCGCACTTTAATGTTGACACTGTATATATGGAGTGATTTGAAACTCTGGCCATTGAAGAAGCCCACAAGAAGCCCCGAGTCTGGTTGAGATACGTAGACGACACCTGCATAATATGGAACCATGGGAATGCAGAACTAGACACTTTCCTGAAGCACATCAACAACGTAAGTTCATCCATCACTTTCACAATGGAGAAGGAAGTCCACAACGAATTGTCTTTCTCAGACGTATTGGTGAAGAGGACCGACACTAAATGGGAAACATCTGTATATCGAAATCCCACTCATACAGGACAGTATCTGAATCAAAAATTCAACCACTATCAATCGACTAAGAGAGGAATCAGCAAGATTCTACTAGACTGTACTTTCGGGCTCTGTAATACAAAGAAAGGTCTCGAAAAGGAACGACCTTCAACGGAATGGTTACCCCAGAGTGATGATAGAACAGGCTTTAGCTAAAAGACAGCAAGAGATCCACAAAGAAGAGAAACCGCCACAACCAGTACTTGTACTCCTCTACATCAGAGGATTATCTGAAATCATGAGAAGGATTGAGTCCAAGTATAACATCTGGATCTGCTTCAGATCGGGGAACACTATCCGTAGCAGCCTCACGAAAACCAGGCCATTAAACGCGGACCGCGATTCTAAGAATTGCATTTACCGGATACCCTGTGAGTGCGGAAAATCCTGTATTGGTGAAACTAAGAGGCCATTGAATATTCGCATTGCCGAGCACAAGAAGCACACACAGCGAGGAGAAACCAGCAAATCCGGAATAGCAGTACATGTTTGGACTCATCAACATAACATCAAGTGGGCTCAAGCTGAAATCATCCACAAAGAGGAACACTGGTTTAGGAGAAAATTCAAAGAAGCTGCATATATGTTGTCCACCAAAGCATTCAGTCAAGCCAGCGTAGAGATACGTAACATATAGAAACCTCTAATCAGGCGAAAAACGACTAACTCGCGCCAAACGGTCATCTCCCGCTAAAACCGATGAAGCGGAGAGAGGGAAGAGGGGATAGCTGAAAGCAGTCGAATGACCTATAAATCGTCAGATCTCGGAGAAATAAGTCCAGTTATCACCCGAAGACGGTTTTGGATACTAACAATCGAAACGTCGTGACGTAACTTGGTTTGGAATCTTTAAATTTTTATCTTTCATTTTTTGTTAATAATATTTTTAATTTTCAGCTTTTACTAATATTTCAATTTTTTTGTTGTAGCTTGTATGTTATTTCTTTATAATTTCAGTTTTTTTAATGAAATTGTAATTTGTAATTTGTAAATTTAAAATTTTTCAGGAATTTCAAATCAATTTCAAATCAATGGAAGTCCGAATTGATAAAATATATTACTCAACCTCTGACACAAATCATCAACTAATGTTTTATACAGTGTCACCATTAAAGTGCGTACCATATGTGAAACTTATTTTTTGAAAATTTACCCATATGCAGAACGTTAACTTTATCCTAGTTGCATAAAATGTTGTTTAGTTGTGACAATGTGGATACGTTAACCGGAAAACCGATGAGTAAACTGGATTGATTTGATCATTTAACAGAGCATTGCGGGTGTAACCTGTTAAATTATCAAACCGATCTAGTTTACTCATCGGTTCTTCGGTAAGCGTAACCACATTGTCACAAGTAAACAAAATTTAGGTACTCAATTAAGCTAGGTACCTACAGTGGCATTATATAAAGGCTAATGTAATCAATCATTTTTAGTTTAATGTATAAGTTCAAAAATTGACGAAACCAAAAAGGACGAAACTGCAATAAATTCAGTTACCGATAAAAGTAGTGAAAACATAGAAATTTAATTCAAAAAAGCAATCAGAACATGATATCATTTCAAACCTTAGTGGTGGATGGAAATCACAACGCAAGTACATTCATCCTCACACTACTTACAAATACACTGTAAATGATGTTCAAAATAGATTTGCCTACTAAAAAATGGAAAACTGAGAAATTCGTTTTTCGAAGAAACATGTTTTTAATGATTTTTTCGGTGCACAGTATATATTCAATGAAAGTGGTATAGAAAATTGTTTTTTTTTCAGAGTGTTCCACACTGAGAGGCATGAGGATTCATGTTCCTGAAGTTGTTCGATCTGGAGACACAGTAACTTTGTCCTGTGAGTACGACCTGGAACAAGTGGCTCTCTATTCCATCAAATGGTATTGGAACGATGAAGAGTTTTATAGATTCGTGCCCAAAGAATCCCCTCCCTCCAGAGCGTTCACCATGACTCACGTCAATGTTGATGTAAGTAATGCTCTTACTGTCATCTTAATGGGAAAAACAAATAATATTAATATCCATTTATAAAAATATCAGTTCTTTGTTCTCTTCCATTCCATTCCCATTGTGATAATATTAACATCAATTATTAGTCCGGTCAAATAAGACCAAAATATAAGAGTAAAGCAACCTAAATTCCCACCAACCTAAAAATTAGTAAGATCATTAGGAATATGATTTGAAATAATATTTGAAAGTTCTCCCTCTTTCCCCTGTATGGAAAAAATTTTATTCAAGATCAAAGTAAAAAAAATGAGTTTTTCGCGATTTTCAGCAAAACGGTAAGTTTTATCATAAAAGTACTTCCGATAAAAATTATAGACCATGAAATTATCTACAAAAAATGTATCGATACTTTTTTTCTACGAGCCACCGTTTTTGAGATATAACGATTCAAAAAGTTGTAAAAGGTGTAATCGTCATAATTTGCACAAGTTTCCACGCCACCTATGAAGTAGCGTACTTGGCGCGTTTTTTTAAACGTTGTTTTCCCAGTAGGACTATTCCACGGGTCAATTGCGATCCTGTTCAATTTGAAACTATTGCAAAATAATAGATATTAGCAGATATTGAAAAGATAAAAGCAATTTGAGTTGAAAAAAAGTGAAATTTAATCGTTCGAGTCGTAACCTTTGAATTCTTCTACTTATTCTTCTCATTCCTGTTCGTCTTGTTCTTCTTGTTATTGTTCTTCTTGTTCCTCTCACCTACCTGCTTAGATAGTTATAGATATGCATGTTTCGTTAAAAATACCAAAAGTAAAAAACAAGTACAATTACCTTGTGTTCCTCCAACCTCAGTTGCTACTCATCAACATCTTTTTCGGGTATATTACCAAGTTCAAGTGTGGTTTGGTTATTAGCTAGACCCTACAGACTGGGGTTGGAAGTTGGTCAACAATTTATTACAACTTTACTTCCACCTGCGCCGGAAAAACTGCTCAACACAATTTTTTGCAACTGCAAAAAGGCGTGCAGTGCTAAATTTGGTTGCAAAACAGTCAAAATGTTTTATATTCCGGCGTGTAGACATTGTCAAAGCCGGTCGTACTCTGATATTGAATCACTAACATGGAAGATCCGTTTGATTCCAACGAAACGACATGCGATACATCGCTATTAACGCAGTTTCAATGTACTCAGGATGAGGATGAAGAAAAACAAGAACAAGAAGATCAAGAAGAAGAATTTGAAAGTTACGACTCGGACGAACAAATTTCACTACTTTTTTTCAACTTAAATTGCTTTTATTTTTTCAATCTCTGCTAATATCCATTATTTTGCAATAGTTTCGAATTAAAATGACTGACCCGTGAAATAGGCCTACTAAGGACTCGTAGAAAAAAATGTAATGATACATTTTCGTAGATAATTCTATGATCTATAATTTTTGTCTGAAGTATTTTTATGATAAAACTCACCGTTTTGCTGAAAATCGCGAAACTCATTTTTTTGACATTTGACTTTGAATAAATTTTTCTCCATGCAAGGGAAAGATGAGGAACTTTTAAATTTTATTTTTTATCATATTTTAAAGAATCTCACTAATTTTCAGCTTGGTGGGAATTTAGGTAGTTTCGAATGTCTAAATTGACCGGACTATTATAATTGCTGAGACTGCTGTTTCAGTACTTCGGCTAATGTTTGTTTTTTACGATGGGAATTGGAATGGCTGTCAAAACGATTTATCGCCTGGAAATTGGAAAAGAGGGATTGAGGGAAAATTGGAAGGCAGTTGCTTGCAAGTGGGACACACTGTCAGAAATTGTGATAACTTATTTGTAAGTACGGTTGTGTTGTTTCAATTATAAATAGATGTATTGACTTTATCTAACTTTCATTCATTTACCGCCCTATCTCATGAAATGGGTTAATGAATTTAAGGAACGAAATTAAGAGTTAAGCTCTCGATAAGGGATATTTGGTAACCATATCTCGAGAAAACATTTTTCAGCTGCAGAACAACTGTTGTACACAATTTGATAATTCGGTTAGTTGAATATATTGATCCAGAGAAAAGTGTTGTTATACAGGGTGTTTATTGAACATGCGGCAAAAATTTAAGGGACTATTCCTTAGACTATTTTAAGGATATTTTGTTCTGGGATGATTTTTGATAGGGTGCTTTTCTTCGAAGACACGGAGCGAAAAATAATTTCAACAATAACTATTTATTAACAAAAATTACGTGTAATGTTTCTCAATCTACAAGAACTGTTAGGAATCACACGTTGAAAGGTAAGTCCTCGTTAGTGTTTAGCTCGCACAAGTTTCTCAACTTCTGAGAGTCGTCGTTCGTATGGGGGCGACAGCTGATTAACGGAAAAACAGATTTTTTTTGTTGAGAAAGACTCCTCCCTGCTCGGATGCCGGAATCCTATCTTCTCCTCATCGACTCGCGAACTCTTTCAAAAATACCAGGATCGTTACACCCAGGATTGCGTTACACCCAGCAATTATCCTATTTTTCAAATCTTCCACATCCTCTGCTGTTGTGATATAAACTAATGCCTTTGGGTGGCCCCATAGTAAATGATACAGGAGTTTGAGTCCGGTGATCGAGCAGGCCATAAGTGAGATCCACCCCGAATAATCCTGCGATCTTCGTATGTTACAGTTAAAAACTCTCAGGACAATATGCTGAAATGCGCTGGTGAAAAATCGTGCATTAAACACATTGCATTTCTTGTAAGTAATGGTTGATCCTCCAGAAACTGAGGTAGCGTTTGTTCCAAAAAAATGCGGGATACCTCGCCGGAAAGTTTTCCTGGCAGAAATAACGATCCAACTCGGAAGTCACCTACAATTCCTACCCAAAAGTTTAACGACAATTGATGTTGAAAGCGATTTTCAAGCACCTCATGTGGATTTTCTTCAGCCCAAACATAGTTATTGTGGAAATTACTTATACCATTTCTTGAGGAACTGGCTTCAACAGTAAAATGAATAAGCATCAGTATTCGAACCAATGTTCACGAAGGCCATTGACAGGATGCTATACGTGGAAGAAAATCTGCAGGAGAAGTGCCTGAACTCGTATGGATACAACAAATAGTCTCTAAGGATGTTCCAAATCGTCCCGTTACTAGCATTCAAAGTATTTGCAAATTTTCGAGTGGAGGCCTCCTCTCTGCGGCAAATAATATCTCACCATTTGCGTCTTTATCAAAAAATACTAAAAATGGTTCCTTTTCATACAAATATTTTATCCAACTTCTACATCTTGTCCTGTTGTTAATTTTTGAGATTCGATGAACTGATATTCGTACCTGAAAAATATATTTCATTTTGATTCCAAAGTAATGTTTTCACAAATTACACATGAACAAAATTCCTTACAAATCTCAACAAAATACCAAACGGAAGGGTTCTGTGAAATAGTCGCTCGAAACCTTATTTCCCTCGTCCTTCCGAATACTTAACATTTTCCGGGCATAAAGTAGTATTTTCACAAATTACACATGAACAAACTTCCTTTCAAATCTCAACAAATTCTCGAATGAACCGCATCTGCAAAATAATCGCTCGAAACCTCATTTTCCTCGTTCTTCCGAATTTCTAATATTTTTCGAACATAAAGTAATGTTTTCACAAAATACACATGAACAAAATTCCTTACAAATGTCAACATATTCCCAAACAAACTGCATCTGTGAAATTATCGCTGAAAACCTTATTTTCCCCATTCTCTTGAATATCTTACATTTCCTGGACAAAAATTAATGTTTTCCCAAATTACGCATGAACAAGATTCCTTACAAATCTCGACATATTCCCAAGCAAACTGCAACTGTGAAATTATCGCTGAAAACCTCATTTCCCCCATTCTCTTGAATATTTTACATTTTCCGGACCAAAATTATTGTTTTCCCAAATTACACATGAACAAAATTCCTTACAAATCTCAACATATTCTCGAATGAACCGCATCTGCAAAATAATCGCTCGAAACCTCATTTTCCTCGTTCTTCCGAATTTCTAATATTTTTCGAACATAAAGTAATGCTTTCACAAAATACACATGAACAAAATTACTTACAAATCTCAACATATTCCCAAACAAACTGCATCTGTGGAATTATCGCTGAAAACCTTATTTCCCCCATTATCTTGAATATCTTACATTTTCTGGACCAAAATTAATGTTTACTTAAACTACACATGAAAAAAATTCCTTACAAATCTCAACATACTCTCAAGCAAACTGCATCTGTGAAATTATCGCTTAAAACCTTATTTCCACCATTCTCCCGAATATCTTACATTTTCCGGAAAAAATTTAATGTTTTCCCAAATTACGCATGAACAAGATTCCTTACAAATCTCAACATATTCCCAAACAAACTGCATCTGTGAAATTATCGCTGAAAACCTTATTCCCCCCATTCTCCCGAATATCTCACATTTTCCCGACAAAAATTAATGTTTTTCCAAATCACGCATGAACAAAATTCCTTACAAATCCCAACAAATTTCCAAACGGAATGCATCTGCGAAATAATCGCTCGAAACCTTATTTCCCTCGTCCTCCCGAATACTTAACATTTTCCGGACATAAAGTAATACTTTCACAAATTACACATGAACAAAATTTCTTACAAATCTCAACAAATCCTCAAACGAACCGCATCTGCAAAATAATCACTCGAAACCTTATTTTCCTCGTTCTCCCGAATATCTATTATTTTCCGAACATAAAGTAATGTTTTCACAAATTACACATGAACAAAATTCCTTAAAAATCTCAACATATTCCAAAACAAAATTGATCTGTGAAATTATCGCTGAAAACCTTATTTCCCCTATTCTCCCGAATATCTAATATTATCCGAATATAAAGTAATGTTTTCACAAATTACACATGAACAAAATTTCTTACAAATCTCAACAAATCCTCAAACGAACCGCATCTGCAAAATAATCACTCGAAACCTTATTTTCCTCGTTCTCCTGAATATCTAATAT